CTGTTACAATCAGTTTAGAGGGAAAGTTAGCCAGTCATTATCTTCCAAGACCCAGGGCTTCTTCCACCCTCTTTCCTGTGCCCAGTGCCCATCTCTGTACGTATCATAACAACTGAAATATCTGCCTTGCTACTTACAAAGCGCGTTCTGATACCTTAACTCGTTTAAATTAGGGAGCAACCTAGTGAGGCTAGTATGATTGTTAAGCCATTTTATCAGAAGGAAACTGACTCAGAAAGTTTTTAAGAATTTTCACTCAAATCACCCTGGAACATTGCCAGACTTGGAAGCCAGGGCCTTTCAAGTTCCTGGACTGCATAGTCCCTCACCTCCACAGGTCCATAATGAGGTCCCTGACTGTTGGCTGCATGCCTGGGTCACAGAGAAGGCCACCTACAGGTAGTTGGGAAGCCTCTGAGCGTGTCTCTTTGCGAAGTAGAGAAATGACCCTTTTGGTTGCCCTTTGCGTTACACTGGCGGTTCTCTGGGTAGAACAGTCAAGAGTTAAAACCATGAGTAGAGGCAATAAAATGGAAGTCAGCAGTCAGTTTTCTCAGTCCCTATGTTTTGTTGCAAATAGATCTCTGAGGACAAGAAAAATTGTTTCTTATCAGATGCTGGTTCATGCTGTGCCCACGATTTTATTCATTTTGTTCTGAGGAAACGAGTAATAGGCCCATTTGCTTACCATCCCCTGTGGCTGAGCTGGTTCTGCTGCACAGCAGTTGGAGAAATTCAATTCAGCAGACATTTAGTGATGTGTCTTCTGTGTGCCAACCAGTGCACAAGGGGCTGCGGAGACAGAGATAAGGAAGCCCCATTCCTTGCTCTCAGGGAGCCCAGAGTACTTTTTAGGTCGTTTAATCATGGGATATAATTATTCTTTTAAAAGTAGGATATGGGGGCTCGGCGCCTATAGCTCAACCGGCTAGGGTGCCAGCCACGTACACCTGAGGTGGCGGGTTCGAGTCCCCAGCCCGGACCTGCCAAAACAACAATGACGGCTGCAGCCAAGAAATGGCCGGGCGTTGTGGCGGGCGCCTGTGGTCCCAGCTACTTGGGAGGCGGAGGCAGGAGACTCGCTTGAGCCCAGCAGTTGGAGGTTGCTGTGAGCTGTTATGCCACGGCACTCTACCCAGGGGGACAGCTTGAGGCTCTGTCTCAAAAAAAAAAAAAAAAAAAAGGTAAGATATGGGCTCGGCACCTGTGGCACAAGCAGCTAAGGCTCCAGCCACATACACCTAAGGTGGTGGGTTCGAATCCAGCCTGGACCCACCAAACAACAATGATGGCTGCAACCAAAAAAGAAAAATAGCCAGGCATTGGGGCGGGTGCCTGTGGTCCCAGCTACTTGGGCGGCGGAGGCAGGAGACTCTTTTGAGCCCAGGAGTTGGAGGTTGCTGTGAGCTGTGATGCCACAGTACTCTACCCAGGGGGATAGCTTGAGGCTCTGTCTCAAAAAAAAATAAAATAAAAAATAAAAGTAGGATATGGATTATTTTATATTTTGGTAAAATACAGTCCTCTGAGAAAGTTGCTGTCTAAATAACAACATTTTGTTTGTTGAGCATACAGAAAGAGGAGTGATACAAACATTTAGAACTCAGTGGTAGTACAAACTGATCTTTCAAGGCCAGCCCTGCTAGATTCCGAGGGTGATGACATTTTATCCCTTCAAAAATTAATGGAATCCATTCATAGGCTGTCGATAAAAGCATAAGGATTTACACAGTTGAAAGCTAACCCAGCCAGCACTCAGGTTTGTCAGATCATCATGTCTGCGCATACCATGTCTTTATTTAAAAATGATGAAGAGTAACACGCAACAGTAAAGAAGTGAGGGAAACGGAAGGATGTTGCCAAGTAGATAAAATAGTCCCCCACGGTGTCCCCACCCCGATACGAAGAGCCATTGGACCTTGGGCAAATACTCTTTTCATTTCCATGTCCTCATTCGTGACATTGAGAATAATGCTACCTGTTTTGTGGGGCTTTGCTGGGAATAAATGAGACAGCAAGTTAAAGTGCACATACAAAAAGACACAGTGAACGGGTATCTCACTAGGACAAAATAAGCATTTCTATATAGTCCGTTTGTCTTGTTTCTTCTGGTTTTTTACAAAGATTTTTGGTTATATTTTGTACCCTCATTTCTTTTTTTTTTTTTTGAGACAGAGTCTTACTCTGTTGCCCTTGGTAGAGTGCTGTGGCATCACAGCTCACAGCAATCTCCAACTCTTGGGATTAAGCGATTCTCTTGCCTCAGCCTCCCAAGTAACTGGGACTACAGGCGCCCACCACAATGCCCGGCTATTTTTTGTTGCAGTTGTCACTTCTGTTTTAGCTGGTCAGGTTCAAACCCACCACCCTCAGTATATGAGTCGGCACCCTGCACCCTTAAGGCACTGCCCTTAAGCATGTTTTTTAATCTCTCTTTGTTGCCTTGTATGCTAAATGGGGATAAAATGGTATCTGCCTGGGAGGAGTGCTGGCTGTGTGGATTAAAGGAAGCAGTGCCACAATTGCACTTACCAAATACTTCATAAACTTTTTTTGGGGGGGGGGGGCAGGGCTGGGTTTGAACCTGACACCTCTGGTATATGGGGCCGGCGCTCTACTCCTTGGCGCCATAGGTGCTGCCTTACTTCATAAACTTTTCTCCTTTTTTTCCTTTTTTTGAGACAGGGTCTTGCTCTGTCTCCTCTGCTTGAGTATAATAGAAGAGGAGGTCAACACGTAGAGAATATTTTATAAATATTTTGTAAAATTTAGTAATTAATATTTTGTAAGTAAAGGTGCATTTAGCTGCAATTTCCCATTTTCCCAATGTATGGTCACTTTATGGGCAAGCTTTGGGACACACTGTATTTTTTGTAGACAGGGTCGCGCTCTTGCTCAGGCTGTTCTCAAATTCCTGACCTTAAGCGGTCCTGCTGCCTCCGCTTCCCAGAATACAAAATTACGGGTGTGAGCCACCACGCCTGGACTCTTTTCCTTTAAAGTAATAGTGAAAAACAAGTTCATCCATGTTTGAGCAGCTCATTGTGACCATGACTCACTTTTGCTCATTCTTCTGAATAGTCAGATCTCGTCTGCTAAGGTCAGGTCCCAGAGGCTGTTTGGAAGTCTGGTTTTATGAAGCTTTCAGTCCCTGGCTGCATTCTACCAAATTGTAAAGCTGGTCCTTTGAAGCTTAAAACCCAGCATGTTTTATGCCTTACTGAATGAAGTACATACTATTGGGCGACTTTGTACTTTTACTTTTTCTAAAACCAGCCAGTGGTTTGCCCTAGGCAAATTTGTTGTGGCAGATAATGACCTCTGTGATTGCATGCCCTCTTCAGAGAAAAGAAGTTGGCAAGGGTACCCACAAGGTCCTGAGTTTATACTTGTCCTCATGTAGTTATTCATAGTGCTGCCTTCCCTCTCACGAGTGACCTCAGATGGTAAATTGTATCATCGTTCTGGCTCCAGGGGGTTCCTTAGCAGCGGGATGTCTGCCGTTCTTGCCTCCCCTCTTCTTTCCCGGACACCTTACTGTCTGTCCAACAAAGGTTTTAGCTGCATGACTCAGCACACTTCATCTGGACGGCTCTTCTGCACATGTCCAGCCTCTTCCAGTTCACCTTAGCCCAGCAGGCATTCCCTCAGGTGTGCCCATTTTATCACTTTTTCCTTCCTTTTCCTGCTGATTGGCCATGGCATACACAGGGCACTTTTCATTTGTTTTAAAAGTGCTTTTGTTGGGCGGCACCTGTGGCTCACTAGGTAGGGCGCCGGCCCCATATACTGAGGGTGGCAGATTCAAACCCGGCCCTTGCCAAATTGCAACAAAAAAATAGCTGGGTGTTGTGGTGGGTGCCTGTAGTTCCAGCTGCTCCCAGCTGCTCGGGAGGCTGAGGCAAGAGAATCGCCTAAGCCCAGGAGTTGGAGGTTGCTGTGAGCTCTGTGAAGCCACAGCTCTCTACTGAGGGTGACAAAATGAGACTCTGCCTCTTTATTTTATTTATTTATCTTTTTTTTTTTTTTTTGAGACAGAGACTCAAGCTGTCCCCCTGGGTAGAATGCCGTGGCTTCACAGCTCACAGCAGCCTCCAACTCCTGGGCTCAAGCGAGTCTCCTGCCTCTGCCTCCCAAGTAGCTGGGACCACAGGCACCCGCCACAGCTCTTGGCTATTTTTTTTTTCGGTTGCAGCCATCATTGTTGTTTGGCGGGTCCAGGCTGAATTTGAACCCGCCACCTTAGGTGTATGTGGCTGGTGCCTTAGCCACTTGAGCCATAGGCGCCGAGCCTGCCTCTTTTAAAAAAAGGGGGGGGGGGGCTTTTGTTGCTTCTAGATGAATAATAGAGGGAAAAAAGTGCCTTTGTCCCTTAGAATTATTTGTTTTGCAGCTCAAATCCATCCTATAAGCAAATGTTAACATAATTTATTTCTCACCACTTGCAATTTTAAAAATCATGTCTGCTGTCAATTTCTTAAGTGCAAAACAACTTCTTACTGGGACGTTAAGCCTTATCTTGCCCTTACCAAATAAAATAAGGTTAATTATATTCATAAAGCACTTCAAGAGCCCTTATGTAATCACAGCAAACAGGCCAACGATGAGTAGGCAATAACAAGAACAAGTCCAAGGTGATAGTGCCCAGCTCCATGATTGACCACAGCAGAGTTTAGCTTGTAGGATGAAAGTTTGAAAGTACAGAAGGTTTTCCGTTGGAAACAAGATCAAGTTAGTGTCTTACCCGTGGTTACCTTATGTACTCAGGTAACTGTGTTTTAACTGGCATAAAGGGCTTTGTGATTTGAGAGATATTCTTGCTTCTGGAACAAGTGCCTGCATTCTTTGGGTAATGCATCCCTATTTTAAGGAGGAAAGGTGAACGTTCAGAGGAGGGATCCTGCAGGTTGAACCCATGCAGTGTCAACGTGGAGACTGTCGTTCAGAGGTCAGAGCATGGATTCTCAGTGGAAGGTTTGTTTTCTGTTTGTTTTAACTAGGCGATTTTCGCATGGTTGTTGGAGAGGATAAGACAAAAGTGTTGAATATCGTGAAGCCCAACATAGCCCACTTCCGCGAGCTCTATGGCAGCATACTGCAGGAGAATCCCCAAGTGGTGTATAAAACCCAGCAAGGCCGACTGGAGGTAACTGTGTGTGGAAAACAGCTTGCACTGTCTGCAGTGTAAATAGTGTGCTTGAACTTTATGGCCACCCTGTGTGTAAGCATAAGCTTCTGTATATTCCGAATAAGCTAAAAGGTAACACCGAGACCAGTCAGATAGGGCTGCCTTTGGAGAAGGGAATCGGGGCAGAAGCAGGGAGAGATTTGTTTTCAGCATGTGTATCTTAAGCCCTTGCAATTCTTGCCGTATATATTAATTACCAATCAAAACAGGTGAAAAGAAACTCTCAGGTTACTTTGGTTCCATCCCCCAATCCCATTTGCCTCCCCAGACAGAGGTAGCCATAGTAATAGTTTTGTATCTACTCTTCCAGATCTTTTTGCCTGTTTATAGATATTTATACATCTCCATAAGTGAATTCACATGTAGCTGTACATACACGTGTGTGAGGAGGTTGGGTCTTACCTGACTTTGCTGTACAGACGGGGCTCCTACTTACGCTTACTAATCTGTAGCTTGCTTTTGCCCTCCTTGTTACCTTTATGCCATGGGAACTTTCCTTTTTGATAAATATCAAATAAAACTTTCTTATCAAGGTATTTTTTTAAGTAATATTAAGTGCTTGAAAATAAAAATCAGAGGGCTCGGCGCCTGTGGCTCAAGCGGCTAAGGCGCCAGCCACATACACCTAAGGTGGCGGGTTCGAATCCAGC